TCTCTAAAACAATCAAAGTATTTCAGTTCTCATATCATATCTGATAGTGGAAGTATCATAATTGATGTGTGGATGACTGTTGCTCAATCTACAGCGGTACAGAAAACACATCAAATCTATAAAGTGCTATCTTACAAGGGTACTCACAGTTCAGTGATTGCAATTTAGGAAGAAATTTATGAGCTAGATCAATAGCATTAGCAATTCCTGTCAAAGAAAGAGAAAAAAAATCAAGTTCTCTTACGCACAAGTGTAATTGGATCAATCACAAATTAGACTTGATGTAAATAGATTAAGGAAAACTCAACCTATTAAGATACATCTAGAAAATGGTAGTGTTGTGAGCAAAAAAAGATCATGAAGCACGGCCCTATCTTTTGTTATCAGATAATCCAACTCATCGGCAATTATCAACCTGTGGATGAATTAACTTAGTTAAAATACATTCACTATGAACTTAAATGGCAGAAATAATATTATGTGAATTAAAGAGTTGATTTCAAAACTAAGCAATCAAGTTGGTTGAACATTTATATTGGCTGGAAAATTTTCTTACGTCATTTTCATCCCATTTGAATGCTGCTTCTGAGAATAATTGTTCTGAAGAGTCTTCAAAGGGGAAATAGAACCGCCTGATTTATTTTGCAGTGAACTTTTCCCAAGAATCTGCAAAGATTACCAATGTTTGAGCATAAGCAATTTAGGAAGCTACGTTTTTTATCAGGACAAGAACAGTATCAGTCTACCTTACTAAAAATTTCTGAAGTGTTTGCAAGAGAAGTACAATTGATAGCTACTATATGTGGGGGCTGAAGTCCTGCCTGATTAAGCCACAAAAAAGCTCTCATAAGTTTCATCTTCATACAGTAAAAAAGCTATAATTAAGATGTTCACAAAATGGACTGGTACATGATTACTTCCAATAAACAACTTGAGCTCTTTCTGAATCATACATCAACTGCCTTCCAGATTTTGACAAATTTTGTCAAGAATTATCTAATTATATGTGAAGATAAAGTAAATTTACAGTATCACCGCTAACATAGTCATTGGAAATCCCATTCAACTAGGATTCTCGTGGGCAATCCAGGGAACACAACAATAAAGCCTGTCATTAGTTTAGATCATGTCATTCTTTAACACTTCCAGAAAGTTTTAATCATGTATCTCAGCAATATGATGCCTTTTGCTGCTAGTTCTAGGCAAATTAGAATCTAAACTTCAAACAGCCATTAATGCAAGAGAATACATCAGCAAAAATCTATGTAAACAAGTGATTGGGATGATTATCACGAGCCAAGTGTAGAGAACATCTATGTTTAGCTGCAATTTTTATCTTGTAAGATCTTATCTGTGAAGAAGAAATGCAATTTGGACAGACACAACATACCGTAACCCATACCTCTTTTGCCCATTCAACCAATGCCTCTTTAACTTTCTCCATCATTAGCGACTTTCCAGTTCCTGGACAACCACATACGTACATACTGCCTGAAGTTTCTAGCTCAATGCATCTTTGGCAGAACTCCAACATCCTAGTTCGCTCGTTTTCGCGGCACACTACAGTAGAAGGAGAAGTTGAAACATGCAATGCCTCCTTCACAGAACTCAATTGATCCACATCTATGTAAAAGAGTAATTGACACTTAATTTCATCAAAAAGAATTCCTCCACATTAAATGAAGAAAATACCAATCCGATGCATCCACTTAATATACAATTAGGTTGTTTAATCACAATCCACTAGCACTATAACAGACATATAGCGTGACAAGATCCAAGGAAGATAATCAACTAAATTGAAACAGAAACAAAAGTTAATAATAGCAAAATCAAATCCGGGAGATATAAACTTGCCTGTAGGATTCCAGATCGGTTTATCCAGAAAACTATCGGATAACTTTTTCTTAACGGGTAATTTGCTCGACGTCATTGCCTTTCCACGGGAAAATTTTTCATTGTCCTACGAGTCCATGTGAGAACAAATTTCAGCATCCGAAAGAGAAATAAGCTAATTAAATAAAGAATAAGAAAAATTTTTAGAGGTTACTTTGGAAGGACTATTAATCTTTGGACTGTCATTTGGACATCGGCGAGGTGATTTCCACTTCACCGGAGAACTCTGCATCGGCAAAGGAACAGAAGAATCCGAACCATCTCGAGTAGCCGAATCAGATCTCAATTTACGCTTGTGAGGACTCGAATCTCCTAACTGAGCCTTGATGACGTCAACCGGAGATAACCTACGGCCAGCGAGGTTCGGCATTTTTTAGCTGTCAGTTTTCAACAAATTGGTTAATCAATTTACTATTATTCAATGAAGCCGGGGAGGATGTTGTCGTCCCGCCGGAGCTTGGGGGCGGGCAAAATATGAGTTAGAGTGAACTGCGAAGGTATGAGTTGAGCTCCAATATGCAGAAAAAAACAAGGCGCATATATGCGTCGTGTGTGCTTTCGCGGGAACGTGTAATTTAGCGGGAAAGAATTAACCGGAGCTACTGCATTTCCCGCCATGTTTTGGGCACAGGCCCAATACTTAAAAATTGCCTGTAGGTATCTTGCTATTTGAATAATAGTAGTAAATAGTAGTACATGTGTCGGCTTCTCTACTAGTTTTAACAGGGCCAAAAATATTAGGGAGAATTGTCCAAAATGTCCCTCACATTTGACAAAATAACTTTTTCGTTTATTATTTTTAAAAGTGTAATTTTATATTCCTTACAAATTCACATTGGTCAATTTTGGTTCCTATCTAGATTTTCGATATGATCATTTTTCAAGAATAAAATTGTTAAACACATTTCAGATAATCTGATCCATAATCCCTCACATTTTGTAAAACAAAAATTTTCATCCTTCATTGATCATGTGTGCAACAGTCTTTTCTTATTTTTAAAAATTCATATATATGTCTATTTGATTTCACCTGAACAGTACGGATAACATATAATATATATGTATTTGATTTCATCTACATCTGATTGTAGATGTAGATGAAATCAATAACACATATATTATATGCTATTCGTATTATTCAGGTAAAATCAAATATACATATACATGGTTTTTTTTTTAAAGAAATTATTCGTACACATGATTAATTAGAGATAAAAAATTAATTTTATGAAATGCGAGAAATGAAAAAATTTATTTTTTAAAATGTAAGGGACGCAAAAATTCATTTTATAAGATGTAAGGAACAAAAAAATCAAATTATGTGAAATATAATTTGACAAATTTGTCCCTAAAAAATGATCACGTGCAATGCACTTGGTGAATTCCGGCAAAAAACTAGTCGAAAAACAAGGTAAGGACCAAATTTGATTAGTATGAAATTATAAGGAATGTAAAATAATATTTTTAAAAATAAAGAAAAAAATATTTTGTAAAATACGAGGGACGATTTGAACGATTTTTTCAAAATATTAATTAACAAATACTTGTATGGGCTTGGTTTGCATATCCATCATTTGTCTACAAACTGTCTTTGGAACAGGCCGCTTGGAGATAAGCCCGCTCGAGCCAAAAAATTTGGACCACTCCTCATATTTAACCGGGTCGTGTAAAACTAAAACCTAGTCCCAAATCATTTTAATTGTAAGTCGAGTTTAAACTTCATTGGTTTGTTGACTCGAATAATTTTATATGTAAGTGTATATATTATATCTATAATAATGTATAGAATTTATAACTATATGCATTTTGATATAAGAAATTAACAACTCACACGGGATTGTGTAATAATAATACAGATTTAATATACATTATATTTAGTTATTGTGAATTTGGCCAGAGGGCCCAATAGCCGAATATGAATATCATATTTTAAGCCGGCAACCCAAGCTTTAAAGGCCCAAAAATCTTTTTTTTTTTTTTTCAAGCCGAATTTAAACTTGTCAGAACTTGATCAATTGATAACTGTACGTCATCAAACATCACTAACTATCACTTTTTATGATCCCGGCTTTTGGGGTTCTCTCGAGGTTTAGGTTTATAAAAATTGACGTAAGCTCTTTGGGCTTCGAAAGAAAAAAAAAAAAAACTACCAATTTAAACGGAAAAGAGAGAGAGTTAATAAACCAAACTCACATAATTATTTTTCAAAAGAATTTAGTTGCTCGGACTAGGGGTGTTCACGAATCGGCTCGCGAGCTGCTCGAGTCGAGTTCGAGCTAATTAAATCGAACTCGAACTCGAGTTCGAGTTCAAAAACATTAAACTTGTTGGCTCACGAGCTCAATTATATATTTTTTTTATTTTTTTAATAGTAAAATTACATATATATTCATAATATTTTATTATTTATTAAAAAATTATTATTATTATTTATTTTTAAAAATAAATAATTATTTTTTATTTTTAAAAATAAATTTTATTATTATTTTTTTTTATATTTTAAGCTCGAGTTCGAGTTTCACAAAATTAATTGGAGACTCGACTCAATTAGGCTAAAACTCTGCTCGACTCGACTTGTTTGCACCCCTAACTCGGACTGACCATTTTTAATAATTTACAGCACAAAAGGGAGGAAATGATAATATGCATCTTGCTCAATTGAATGAGAGGGAGCGAGCCTACGCAGCTTTTTATTTTCCCCGTAAGAGTTGAAAGTGAAAGGTAATCATGATTCATGAATTACAACAAAAACAGTTTTCTTGCTAATTTTTCCAGTATCTTTAGGCAGTGTTAAACCTAAACTTTCTGGAGATCAACCAAATTTAGGGGTGGGCAAAAATACCCGCTGACCCGAAAATCCGAGAGATCCGATCCGATCCGATCCGAAAAATAGGATACCCGATCCGATTTCTCTCAGCGGATCAGATAGGGTCGGGTACCCGGAATATTCGGATACGGATACGGATCGTAAAAGCAAAAACCCGCGGGTACCCGACCCGGGGTATATTATGTAACTATTAAAAAATATAGGGGCAATTTTATAATTTTATAAGTTATTAACCCTAACCTAAAGAGTTCAGCCGACATTCTGATCTAGTGCAACATAATTTGCCTGTGTTCATCCTCTGTCTAGGCAATCCCTTTGCCGCTCCTGATCTGATCTTGAAGCCTTGCCTCCATCACTCCATGGTTAGACTCGCTGCTAAAGCCTTCCCTCATTTTCCCCTGCTGAAAATCCTCCATCCGCGGCTCCGCCCTTTTGTTTATGTTCTTGACTCCGGGAAAATTGCTTGATTTTATATATAATGTATTATCATTTGATTTTTTGTTGATTAGTATTGTTTTTTTTCTCAAATTTTCTGTTGCAGCCCAATGATGGAAAAAATTGTTAATATTGAGGGGATTGACAGGGTTTAAAATTCAACGGTTGCCTTTGCACTTCACCGGAAAAATTAGCCGCCACCCACCTCTGTCCAGGCAATCCCTTTGCGCCGCTCCTGATCTGATCTTGAAGCCTTGCCTCCATGGTTAGACTCGCTGCTAAAGCCTTCCCTCATTTTCCCCTGCTGAAAATCCTCCCTCGGCGGCTCCGCCCTTTTGTTTATGTTCTTTACTCCGGGAAAATTGCTTGAGTTTATACACACACATACACACACACTGGTGCATGGCTTGGCTGGTTTTTTTGTCGGTGATCTGTGAAAGGCATCTGTTGAATTACCCGTCAAATTCCGTCTATGATTCATTGAAGCCATGAGATCTGAGGGCTTCTTATGAAATATGTTTGAAATTTTTTGCATTTTTGGGATATTTATTGCTTTAGTTTCTTATTTAGTTGTGGTGGCTTTCAAGCATTTGATTCTTTTTAGTTTTTTATATAATTGAGATTATTTATTCTTTTCATGTATATCTATTAAATAATTCTTGATTTTTGCCCCGTGACAAAAATTTTGTGGCAAAAGAGCAGTTCTTTTGGTTGCTATTTATTGTTAGCCTTTTGTGGTGCCATTGCCTGATTTCCTCAGGGGAGCAAAGCGTAATTAACCCTTTTTATTTATTCATTCATTTATCCATTCATCCATCCATTGATCCAGATGATCTTCTATCTATCTATCTATCTAGCTGTGATGATAAATCATATCAGAGTTGCCATACAGATGGTACCAAAAGTGCTTGATAAATGTCACTGCTAGTAACCTTAAACTGCCCTTAAACTGCAAATGATGGTTTTTGATTAAATATAGTCCTAAAATAGCTATCAAATCTGAGGACTTTTGATTTTATATCTTGTTGTTCAACATCTATTCAGTTGAACTTTCAGGCTTTAGCTCATAGGTTTTGTGCATAGTATTCATTTATGGGGGATTTAACTAAGTTGTTGTTTTGGAATTTTTGTCCAGTGATTTTACTCAAGCAATAACAATAGAAAGGTTGCTTTTGATTTTCACAATAAGTCTCCCCAGCATCTGGACGTACAGGCTACAGCAGGTTCATCTTATGAATGCAGAATTTGCATTCTTTAAATAGGGGCGGGTACCCGATGACCCGCCCCTATTTTTCGGGTATCCGAGGATCGGGTACCCGAGGACAATCGGAGCGGATTAGGGTCAAAAAAATAGTGACCCGACATCTTAGGGTCGGGTCAGCCTTTTGCCGTTCGGGGCGGGTACCCGACCCGTGCCCACCCCTAACCAAATTAAGAAGATGAAGCATCGATAATTACATTCTGCCAAAACGGTACAAAATTGTGATTTTTTACCGAAACTAACATGACTTCTTAATTACTTTATCCTAAAACCACAAGTCAGAGTACGAACCAAACTATGCCACGAGCCTATAAGCGTCGAGAACCAAGCTCGAGAGGGTAACGAATAATGAGATATTCCACAGCCGGTCTGGTTCTACTCTTACATAAGTTCCACTCCAGTGCCACAAAATATATACCATCGCCGTCTCATAAAATTTGTCGTCGTTGAAGGAACATGCAATTTATGTATAATACTACTATTAGTAGGAATTTTTTTAAAATTTTTTTCTTATATCCTTAGTAGATGGCAAACTTTTAATTTGATGTATTGATAATTATAAAAAATAAGCGTTGAATCACATGAAGGGTAGAGATAAAATTTTATTAAAAAAAGAAGAGTTGATATTTTTAATAATGGCAATCAATTTAGAACAAGAAAAGATGAAGAATATGATAAATTTTATAGGACTTTTTTTGTTTTATTTTTGGGAGGGGGCCGGGGGGGCGGGAACTAAAAATTGGACATTATTATGGTTGAGTTATGGCCAATAGCCTCTTGGACTCTTGGTACCACGAAGACATTTACCAAGACATGACATAAATGTTTTGGTGGGGTGAATCCTTGACCTAGTATCTTACTATTTAATTGTGATTTTTTTTAATCAAAATAATCGGTCAACTCTCGCTTTTCTTAGACTTTACTATAATAGATTATGCAAATATTATCATCGCTGTAAAAAATAAATAAAATTGAGTTGTTACCTTCCATGTCCTCCAGTTGGAAAGATCGATACACAGTTATCAAATGCCGTGCGTCGCCCACAAAAGCCGAATAGCAACAACTCAATCATAATAACGTCCAATTTTCATCCCGTCGAAATACAGTTGGATTTATATGGACATGAATGGATCTGGTCCCCTAACTAAAAACTCATTGGTGTGGGAACAATGGAATTTCAACATGGCCCGGTTGAAAATGACCCGCAATTGAATGTTGAAAACGATATGGATGCTCGAGAGCCTCAGATATTTTACATGTCAAATTACCATAGTGTCCTTGTCTTGGCAGAATATTAATTTCCAACCAGAAAAATAATTTGGAATATTTAAATGTTATTCGCATTGTGCACGTTTTTTGTGTTTCCAACCAAATAAACAATTTCCAAATGTTTATATCAAATACGAAATCTCAAAATCATATGGACACAAGGGAACACTAATAATGCAAGAGAGAAACAGTTGCTTGATCATTTATTTGGTTCCGTAGTGGGTTAAATTGAATAAAACAAAAATCGATCATTATTTGTATGAGAACTACAATTTAATATTTAGATAACTATAACTCCATTTGGATTAGCTGTTTTAGAATATTTTTGAAAAATTTTATTGTAGATTAATATATGAAAATTTTTTCCTATAAAATTTTTTTAAAATATTTGATATATTGTATGAATGAAATTTTTTTGAATTATTGTATATTATTATAATATTGTATTTGAAAATTTTATTTTTAAAAAAATGACTAATCCAAACGGAAGTTCAAATATCACTAGTGTGCGATTGTACATACACGGCACGCGGTGTGGGTGTTAGCAGCTTGTTCCCCCGTTATACAGAGAATGTCGTGTTATTGTTGTTAAGAGATGAAGAGAACCATGTTAAAGCGTCCGTCTCCAACTCTTGTATATGATCCTTTTATTGTATTTTCCTCTAAAAATAGGTCAACTTAAAGCAAAAGGTAATTTTAAAAAAAAAATGTAAGGTAATTTGCATATAGTAGGAAACAAAGAGTTAGATGTGAAATGGTTGTGTTCAGAAAAAATTTATGTGGCGGATGGGAGAGGGAAACAAGAAAGAAGAAAAGATGAGAGGATAAGGAAATTGGTGTGGCTTTAGCGTCTGCATGTCCCTGTTCAACTCTTTGAGTTAATAGCATTTGATACTAACCTATTACGGTATTACCCATGTGAAATGCCCTCGCGACTAGAGCCGCAAAGAAGTCGATAATGTCGGAGTTTTGGCTTAAACAGCTGGTGCTTAACTCATTTTTAATTAGGTTCAAACTCGAATTCGAGTTCAATGAGTCTTCGTTCCATTCGAACTTCAATTTGAGTCTTGTCACGTTTGAGTATTCTTGAGTTCAAGCAAAACAAAAAAATTTTTTTTTTTGTGGTTTTCAAAATGGATAAAATTAAAACATTTCACCCTAATTAACTAATAAAAATATAGAGGCATACATGTAATTTTAATTATTACAAATATATAAATTCAAACTAGTTTGATGAGTTAACTATCAAACTATCTATAAACTCGACTCGATTAATCCCGCTCACCAAGTCAATTCAAGCTTTATGTTGATCGAATTCGAGTTGAGATTTGACCAAACCTGCTCGCAAGTTGCCTGTCGACATTTTCTCATATGTTGCCTATCATCCAAGTCTAGACGATTCTTCAATCTCTCGATTACCGATTATCAATCTAGCTTTTTCACGGAGAATGGTTCTTGTAATGCATTTTCATAAATTGCCCACCAATTCTTTCTGATGCATGCGCACACTTATAATGAGAGGAAAGGGAAAATATCAAATACCAAAGACAGGTGGAGGCTGAAAGGTGATGTTACATTTTCTAAAAATAAACTTTCTATATGCTCTCGAACAAAACATCTTTTAATTCAAATTAAGCGATTTTCAATAAATAATGGTGCAGGGCTGATTTTTAAAAAGTATATATTATTGAAGGCTATAAAAGTACACATAACAAATGATTTGTAATGACATAAAATCCTTTTCACCGTTCAAGCCTACGAATTTCTAACAATAACGTGTTGTAGACAAATTTTATCTGGTGAACATTACACATGCAAAAAATGAAAAATCGGGGGGGGGGGGGGGGCTTTTCTGTTATTTGCATTGCTACCTCTAGAGTCTGGACCTGCACCGCCAAACTGTACAAGTCCAGCTATTCTTTATGTTCCTCGTTGCTGAGTAGGTATTTCCGAGCAATTAATCATCAACAGTCTGCATGTAAAGATTGGTCCATTTGCAGCAGGATAATTCACTGTTACAGTGAATCGAACACTCTGCAACCATGCACGGCAACTTGTGAAACGTTCTACTTGTTTCTCCCATCTTTTTTGGTGATCGAAGCAGGAAACGGTACGTGTAAGTTGATAATAATTGAAATGTGCATGCATGTTGTAAGACTAATCAGAACCTTCAGCTTCAAGTACAAAATATGAACATCTCACGTGAAAAATATCATGCAACATCAACCCAGAATGTTCTGCATGTCACCCCCAACTGCAGCATTTTCGGAGTGCAGTCAATCAATCATCATCTGCCTTTGTGACTGAACTGCTTTTTTTTTTGTCCAGCGTGACTACTATTCACAATACTTATCTCCTTGATTATATGAGCGTGATCCCGCATCTTATGTCAAATTTTATCCTTCTGAAACTTTCATCCAGACAATTCAGGCTTTGATCTAAAACCACTCTTATATGAACAGCGGGGTAATTCTTGGGTAGGGCAGCTGTTATGCTGTTAGGCATCATCTTGCCATTGATCGCAATTTCCATGTACGAGCAAGCAAAGTGATCATCATGAAGAATTAAACCATACTACAATTTTTTATTTATTTATTTTTTTTTTACATGCGACGTGACAAATTGTTTATTAAGAAACCGAAGGTCTGACCTTGATTAATAACGTACGAACGTGCTCATGCATTTTCCGGTAGCTATATATGTTGTTGGGCAGATGAACTGTGCGTGTTTAGGTACCCCCTAACAAAAAATGTGTGTAGGGGAGGTCTTAAACTCGTAACTCGATGCATCACGCAGGTGGTGCGAAACCAAGTGAATTGACCCTCTAATTTATGCCCCCATGTCATGGACAGAGGGGAAAATTAAGTTGATAGACAACATGGTTATCTCAGTTAAGTGGGGATGCTATACTTTTAGTGCTATACTTTTATCTTCTTTTCTGAATCATTACTCATGCTTTTATCTTCTTTTCTTGATCATTACTCATTTGTGCGGACAATTATCACCTCGTTTTAAATGTTCTAGTCGCTGTGCAT